CACAAGAGGCTTCACCAGAGTGAGGAACAGAACAAGGGGACTGATTAAAATACACTACTGAGGGGAGCAGCAGGCGAGACAGGAGAGTTCTGCTGTGCCATGTGGTTCAGCTCCCTCGCTGGGGATCAAACTCATGCTGCACTAACTGTTGACATGGTGCTGAGACTTAACCCCTTGTGTCACCAGGCAGACCCTGGATAATGTGTTTTAATGTGTAAATTAAACTGATTAAATAAGAGAACACAATGACACCAAGGAAAATCTGAATGTCTATTTTATTTCCATTAAAAAATATGACTATATAAAATTTTGGTCCTCTTCTCTATCTCTGCCATTTAAATTTGAATACTTTGATTTTATTAAAATAAAAGCAGAATCATATCTGACACGAGAACTAAATATTTCATTCATTAATTAATAGGATTTAACTGAATTAATTGTGCTTTTTACTATTTCTCAGGAGTGGTAATTCATCTTTCCTACATGCTATTTTCCTTTACTTTTATTTACCGAGTAAAGACGTAGTAGTGAATCTCTACCCACACCCAGACACATGAGTGTACATAAGTGTAATCTGTAATATCAGTAATTGGCCTCATTGTTTATGTTCAGTTACCCTTATTACATGTTATTTCTGTAATAACCAGATATTATAGTCAGTCTTACATTTTCCAGCATCAATTGTCAAAATTAAGATGTAAAACATTATTAAAATTTCAGACTAAAGAACACTGGGGCGGCTTAGTCATGCTAGTGTGAGAGGCCCTTTGATAGCTACTGCTTCGATCTCCACTCGGCTTCCCTGCAAGGAAAACAACAAAAGCAGTGTTTAGATCATATTTTATGAATTAAGAGTGTGCCATAGTACCTATCAAAATCGATGGAACAAACAGCAGTACAGAATTTTAAATATTAAACTGTTGAAGAAGGAAGAAGGGAAAATAACCACTAAGGACCTGTGACAGGTCAGGTTGCCATACTAGGCATCTCAGTATACATTAGCTCAGGTGATGCTTACAGAAGCTCTGCTAGACAAGTGTGCTTTCCTCAACTCACAGAAAGAAGGAGCCTAGAAACGTTAATTGACACAAGCTGATAAGGGGTTAAACCCATATAGTTGCAAGTTCAATGGTCTTTTTGCTATATGTAAACCTAAAAGAATATTGAAATTCCAAGTAATAATCAATTAAAGTAATAGCAATATTATTCATAGAAGAATTGAATGTTCTTTAGTGGAAAATCAGAAATAAAAGTCAGTAAGAACTGTTTCTTCATAGGCAGGGATAGTGTTGCTAAGGACCCCAGGAAAAGCTTCTTAACAGATCAAAATACTAGTATAAGAATGGTGAAAAATGTCAGCATTGTCTTTAAGGTTATATTCTAATAGGTTTAGATATTTTATTATATAACAGCCAAGTGAAATTTTATTGTAGAACTTACAAACCTTGCCCAATTTATAGTCCCTAAATTTATGTATAACTTTAATTTTTAAAACAAAACTTAAAATTTGTTGCTTCTTAATTTGCATACCCTCCCCATGTATAAGACTGGTGTTTCCATTTAGAAGTTTAAATTCTTGCAAAGTAGGGACTATTCTTTTTCAAAATTTCCTTCTATAATACTCAGTTTGTTATATTGGAAAACAATGTAGAAATTTTAAAATGTGTATGTTATTTTAAAATGCACTTACTCTGGGCAAAGCAGCAACCTGGTAAGCAGCTCTAGCAGGATAATGACTCTTGAAATCTAAAAAAAAATTTAGTTTTCAGACATGTAATGTTACTTAACACTGCATAGTCAAGAATCTGGTAATTGCTTCACAGATAATTAATTTTTGGATATAAACATTAAAAAAGCTCATAATCATATTTGTTTGATAAATACTTTGTCATATAAAATGTCAGCTTTGTGGAAAAAATTAAAGTATACACTTGGATACTTGATGTGAGTGGGGTTTTGTTTTTTAAGTGGTACTTACAAAATAGTTGTCTAAATAACAGCAGGCCATCTCAAGCAATTTTGGTAGGGATTCTCTGCTAACTTTTTTTTTTAGCCTTATGTTTAGGAGAGAGTAAGCAATGATGCTTTTTCTGTGGATAGTTCACTAGGTTAATAGACTCATTTCTTGTTAATATAGAAGATAAGAATAAAGCCATGTTACTTACACTGTTTGTAGACTTCATTGACAGTATTAAAGTCATTTATGTCAGCCAGCAAAACAGTTGTTTTTACCACTAGAAGACACATAATTGTCATTAAGTTAAGGCATTGGGTATGATTCAAAACATGACTCAGAAAACAGTATATGGTTCTGTGATTGTGTTGATTCAAATTCACTGACATTAACTTTAGCAACCAAAGTAAGGCATGACATAGTGTTCTTCCCTAATATGCCACGTGTTCTTCACAAAGGCCAAAAAAATACCAAACAGAACTGTGAAATGGTTGCAAGTTGCTCACCATTAGTGAAGTCACAGCCTGCAGCTTTCAGAATTTCACCGATGTTAGTGAGAGCCTGTGAACCAAAGCAAAACAGGCCTAAGACACTGATGTTATAGTAAAATTTTAATTAAATTTAACTCATCATCTTTTATTAGTAACTCCTTAAACAGCTCACATTGCAGAAAAAATCTCCTTTCTGTAAGACATTCTCTTTCCAGGCTACCTGTCGAAGTGAGCTGCTTCTTGGCTTTCCTTTACAGAAATGAATCTTTCTGAAATACAGCGAGAAGCTGTATCCTTTTGTGAATAATAAGACTATTCCTTAGTGTAACAAGAGTGAAGCTCTTAGCCTATGTCCATTAACTAAAGTAGAAACAATATGTGGGGCTCCTACCTCCCCACCCTCAAGGATAAAGTATGATGAGCTGGTAGCAGTAAAGCATGTTTTCTTTTGAAGCAATATTTGATTTTGAAAGCACTGGTTTTCCTTTTTCTGAGGAAACTGTAAAGGTAAGTTATGTATATGTATGACATCTGGTCTTTGAAAAAAAGATCAGTTTTTTACCCTTTTTCTATGTTACTGATACATTAAATGTTTGATTCTATTTTTTTTTAATTAACCTTCTAAATAGGTAATGCATGGATATGGCAAAAATTCAAAAGCTATAAAAAGCAGATAGTGAGAAGATGTCTCCAACCTTTACTGCCCCTCTTCCCAATACTTTCATCAGAGGTAACCACGTTCTAGTTTTTTATATATCCTTCCAGAGGCAGTCAATGTTAGTATCAGTACAAAGGTATGTATCTTTAAACACACACACACACACACACACACAGTAGTTTATGGTACCTGCTGCTTATATCTTGGTTTTCTTTCATCACATAACAATTTATCTTAAGAGATATTTTCATATTACCATAGTTGCTAATCATGGGCCTACCATAATTTATTTAACTAGTTCCAAATGGGTGGATATTTAGGTTGTTTTCTATCTTTGGATATTACAAACAAGTTAGTGTGAGTATATTAAGTTATAATTTAATTATATTTACTAGATTAGAATTGGTTTCCCCGTTTTTATTTAAAATAAAAAACAACTCTGTGCGCTATTTCTCTTACTAACAAATGTTGACTTTTACTTCTGTGATTTTTTTTTTTTGAGGGCATTGGCCCCCCCATGAGAAAATTTCCCAATCCATGTGGAACTGGCAAGATGTTATCTGATTTCAATAATTCAGGTTTAGCGTCACCTCAGTGATAAGGAGGTAGAAGGCAGAATCTTTTTTTTTTTTTTTGTGGTTGTTAAATGGTTCATCAAACTTCCAACTTTTGGCTGACATAAAACCATCTTAAATTCAGCAGTAACTTAAAAGGCATTTATCTGTGCATGTTTATAAAACAAATCAGTGGATTTGTAATACTGCTCAAAAAGTTGGACAAAGGAAACTTCAAATGTGGAAAATTTACTTACCTGTTTGGCCTCTGCTACCACCCCTCCTGGCACAAGCTGTCCACTTGACGGGTCAAAACCTACCTGTCCCGAGATGAACATGGTCCTGTCGACTAAGATGGCTTGGCTGCAATGAACAGAAATCCAGTGTATAAGTAAAACATAAAATTCAATGGTAAAAGATTTCTGTGTTAGAGTATACAACAAAGCACAAAATGTAAAATGAAAGTGATAACTGGATTTCATTAATGTTAAAAACATTTTTTTAAATTGAGGTAATACTGGTTCACAATGCTGTGTATGTTTAAGGAGTACAGGTTCAAATGTCTTCAAATTTATGATACAACAACGCACCCACCACCATCCAAGTACCAGTAATCCTCCACCACAGTCCATCAACTCTTGCCACCCTTTGCTCATACCCCCTTCTCCTTCTGGTAACCTCAGTTCTACATTCAGAATTCAAAGGTTTGTTTTGGTTTTATTTTGTCTGTTTCTTCTTTGCATTGTTTCTTTCTGTTCCCAATAAGTAAAATCATCCAATATGTCTGTGTCTTTCTCCTTCTGACTTAATTTGTTTAGCATGTAAAATTAAAATTTTTTTACTGAAAAACATCTTTCAGAAAATGAAAATGCAAGTCACAGATTGGGAGAAAATGTTTGCAAAATATAAACCTACTAAAGGAATTTTATCCAGAATACACACACACACACACACACACACACATATATATTCTATAGAATTCTCTCTCTATAGAATACATAGATATTCTATGGAATTCTGATAACTGAATGAAACCCAATAAAAAATGGGCAATGACTTGAACTACTCCATTTAAGTAGATAGATGGAGTGCTAATGAGTACATGGAGAGATGTTCAATATTATTGATTCCACTTCCATGAAATTCTAGGAAGATCAAGGAATAGCAGCAGAAAGCAAATTAGTGGCTGAGTGTGTGTGTGGGGGGGATTCATTATAATGGGTGCAAGGGATTTTATGTGGTGATGGAAAGGTTTTAAAACTTAATTGTTATAATGGTTTTCTGACACTATATATTTACCAAAACTCATGGAACTCTACACTTAAAATGGGTTAATTTCATATGTAATTTAAACTTTTATGAAGCTGTGAAATACAAATGCTTTGTGACCACTGTAAGAAAACAGGTGATCCTTTTCAGACATTGCTGGTTGAAGGTTAACTAAGGATCTGCCTGTGATCCTAAGGAATTTTATTCTTGCCAAGTACTCACTTTAGGAACTGTTTCTATAATGACGATGTTTAATTTCAGAATTAGGATAAAATCACAGAAAAAAAAAAAGAATAGGTGCACTAAAACCTGAAAAGAGTCAAACAAATGAACTTTAAAGGAAGCTTTTTAGTTTTGGATAAAGCCCCTCCATTTGTTTTTCAAATTTTGGTAAAATATATATAACATAAAATATCCCATTCTAACCATTTTTAGGCATAAAATTCAGTGAGAATCCACTTTAAAATATTGACAGAAAAAGCTTAATAATCATTTAAAAATTTTTTTTAAAAGATTTATTTGTGCATAAAGAACTGGGGTACAGACTAGAGGCTCAGGGGCGGTGAGAGGCTTCACCAGAGACAGAGTGGGGAGCAGAACAGGCAGATCGATGACGTACACTGCTGAGGGGAGCAGCGGGTGCGTCAGGAGAGGTCTGCTGCGGCATGTGGATCGCCTCCTGGCCAGGCGGGGATTGAACTCATGGGGAAGTGGCTTTAGCTTCTTAGTGCTGTGCTTTAACTCGCTGTGCCTCCAGAGAGGGCCCCATTTTAAATTTGTAAGGAAAATTTGTTTTACTATTCCATGCTTACTTTGAAATTAAGGCTATTTTCATTCTAATCTAGTTCTCCATATTTGGTTTTCCAACATAGCCCAAACTGTTCTATTTTTTATTTTACTAGTTCCCTCTAATTTTCTTAACCATATTTATTTTCCTTTATAAGTTTTAACAAGTACACAGAAAGTCTAGGAATTTTGGCTTTCACTGTGGTCTGCAAATAAGTAACTATTGCGCTCATTAATGTGTAAGCTTTTCTCAGATTGAATAGTGTCATCAGCTAACAGTTTCTACTAGCTGTCCCATGTAGAATTAGGCTATCCTAGGTCCTTCAAAACTATTCATATTTGAAATAGTTTAAACTCATATGTGTATTCACTGATCAAACACTTTATGACATTAAAAAGAAACTTATTGATTCTCAGAAAATAAAAGTAAGGTCTGGACCTCTGAGATTATCTGAGGTATGTGAGTTATCACTCAGAATTAGTAAAAAAAAAATTGTTCACAAAAATAATTAGCTAGAAGACACTTCCTGAGTTTAAGAATCCATAGATTAGTCATTAAGTGCCAGAAAAAATTAATGTATATTAATCCTACTTCCAGGTCAAAGGGTAATAACACTTTTGAAAGTATCTGCTGAAATTCTCATATCATAATCTATGCCACGGACTATCACTTCAAAATGTTATGCTATTTGGATGTGTGCTAGCAAAATGGAAAACGAGCAGCAGCAAAGTGATGTTGAAATCGCTCAAGGTTCTGTCCTAGAATATTCCTGAAATGTGCTGAGTTGAATACTAATTAGTGACAACACCCCATCCATCCCAATGCCAAGGACTGAAAGTTCAACACATTCAAATTCTTCCTGGAGAAGATCCAGAATTTTCAAAAAAGTGTGCTCATTGCAAATTACACACAAAAACTCGTTTCCCAGTAATTCTTTTTTTTTTTTTTTTAAGATTTTACTTATTTGTGCAAAACAAAACTGGGGTACAGGCCAGAGGCTCAGGGGTGGCAAGAGGCTTCACCAGAGACAGAGTGGGGAGCAGAACAGGCAAATTGACGAAGTACACTGCTGAGCGGAACAGTGGGCGGGCCAGGAGAAGTCTGCTGCGCCATGTGGGTCACCTTCTGGGCAGGCGGGAATCGAACTCATGCGGAAGTGGCTCCAGGCCCCCCAGTTCCGTGCCTCAACCCGCTGCGCCACCAGGGAGGGCCACCAGGGAGGGCCCTCAGTAATTTTTAAAATACATTCAGTTAACTTTATAAGGTTCTAAGGAGTTAGCTGAAGTGTGATTTTTCTCTTCAGCATTAAACACTGAAAGTTAGCAACATTTCTAGTGGTCTTGTGTCATCTCATCTTGACACGAAAAACACAAGAACCACAATGTCCTGCAGAGTCTCTACACAATGACCTGGCTGATGGTTTTTCTCTTGTCATACAGGCATATTCATATAATGACTATCCTTTTTTGCTTGCATTTTTATGAAGATAGTTGACCCCACCACCACTTTTGTTCTAAAGTAAAACCACTGGGTAATTGAGCGGGAAGGATCAGAGGAGAAGGAAGAAGATGACTGATTTTTATTTTACTAACTATTCTTATTGTCTTCTCTAAATTACTGTCAGAATTCTCTTCTTAAAAGAGAAGCCAGCAGGTTGTTTCCTGTTAAAAAATGACTCCCTTTTTAATTCTTCTGTGGGGGGGATGGCAAAGTAAATAATTAAGAATGATTTCTGGAGACTGCTACCTAGGTACAAATTTTATCACACCATTTCTTAGTGGTGTGACCTTGGGAAAATTAGTTAAGCTTGAGTGCATCAGAAATGGGGACAGTACTTGTGAACAGAAAGCACAACAGTCTTTATTGCTGAGATAGCATCAATAAATGTTCGCAATTATTACTTCAACCTTTTTATTAGAGAGAAAAACAATAACATCTTAAGAAAACAAGTTAAAGAAACCCGTCACTTTAAATAGAGAGCAGGCCTCAGGTTCCCAGCCAGCTACAGTTTTTAGCTACTTTTTAGTAACACGTTTAAGAGTTTATAGTTTACTCTTAACTTTTTTATATAACAAAAATCCAACTGAGTTCATTTCAAAGATCTATTTAACTGGCTTTATTAAATAATTCATGCATCTGGCAGTGTGCTTTCTAAGCAAGTAGGTGTTCCAAAAAGCTGTACAAAATGGGAGGTTTTACAGGCAGGAAGAGGGCAGGTATAGGAAGAGGGAAGTACTTTGGCTTAGTTAGGTAACCCACCTGTGGGGAATGGATAAGGGCCATAAGATATCTCATTTTCCTTTGGGACTTATCAGAAAATTCCCTACTGACCACTTGGAACAACTTTCCTGGGGAAGGTTGAGACTGAAGTCTGGTGAGGTATTAGGTTTTGGCGGATTTAGCATAACGCCATCTTAATTGGGGTTGTCAGTTTCTTTTTTAACACTTCCTGTTTTAGAGTACTCTTCTAAAGTTTTATTTTTTAAAAAAGATTTATTTAAAAAAAAAAAGATTTATTTATGTATACAAGAACTGGGGTACAGGCCAGAGGTGTAGGGGGTGAGAAGGATTCAACTAGAGACAGAGTGGGGAGCAGAGCAGGCAGATGGATGAAGTACACTGCTGAGGGGAGCAGCGGTGGGGCAGGAGAGGTCTCGACGCCATGTGCTCGACGCCATGTTGGTCACTTTCTGGTCGGGATAGAACTTGTAATGCAGCGGCTGCAGATGGCTTCATAGTGCTGCGATTTAACCTGTTGCACCACCAGGGAGGGCCCCAAAGTTTCCTTTCTTAACTTGTTAAATAAAATGACACAGTTCAAAGAAAATTGCTAAAGTAAATTTTAAAATAGGTGGCATACATACTTGGTCATGAAAAAGCAAGAGAAAAAGTGGAACCTGGATTATTGAAGTTTCCTCCTTAATCCACTTATTTTTCTCCTCTATGCCTCAGTTTATTTCTCTAGTAAGAATGCTCATGAGCTTCTGTTGAAATCCTTAACATATTAATTTTACAGTCTAAATTTACAACAGTATTATGAATAGCAAACCCAACCTACAGTACAAGGAACCTTTCTAAATAATTTTGTCCTTCTTCTCCCCCAAGTTAGAATCAATTTCTCTTTCCTCTTTTGACAGCTCCTGTGTACCTTTACTGCAGTGCACTTTATTTCTAACCCTACTACAATAACTGTCCTGACACACATAAGTGTTATTTCTCAAAACAGTATAAAAAGAACAAGGGCTTTGTGTCAAGCTGTCACATCATATGACCTTGAATAAGTTCACTTTGAGCTTCAGTTTTTTGTACAACAGGAATGGGACTTAAGAAAGTGGCTGACATGGTGCCATATATCATGCACTAAGTGTGAATTTCTTTCACTCTGGATTGTTCCTTATACATTTTTAACACCCCCCCTCCCCAGCTCTAGATTTTCTTTAACAGTGGACCTATTCTATACACTATATTCTAAAAATGAAAAAAAGTTTTAAAGCTGAAACATCTTAATAAAATTGTGTGTGTGTCTTATAAAAGAATTAACCTTTTTAACAGCTTCTGGTAAATGACAATGAATGTATACAGAGTAGAATTTCTGGGTAGTATAACACATATTTAGCTGAAACATGCCAAGCAATCTTGGAAAATAGCAATGATTCATACTGGACTTCATTACTGGGAAATACCAATGAATTCACAAACATCACAATGCATCTATGTATATCTTGTAAAAACCACTGTCTTGGGTAGATGTGCAGGGATTTGATAAGTATTTCTGTGAAAAAGACTCAGTTCTCCCCAAAGGACACACACACATCTGTTGATGGGATTTACTTCTTCAATTAAGAGGCTTAAACATTATGCCGAGTGAAAGAAGTGTCCAAAAGAACGCACATGTAGGATTACGTTTATAGGAAATGTCAAGACCAGACAAATTAACAGAGCCTGAAAATAGATCAGTGGTTGCCAGGTACTGGGGAAAGAGAAAAAGGTACGGGTAATGAAAAAGGTCTCAGAGTATATATCAGTGATGGTCACACTACTTTGTTAGGAAAGAACTCTGAATTGCACACTTTAACGGAGTGAATCTTATGGAACTTAAATTGTGTTTCGATAAAGCCGTTATCCAAAAAGGTAGTGGGGGAGGAGTGTAAACCGCAAAACAAAAAACCCCTTCTACAAGGAGGGATTCTGGTCGGCAGGGCTCCGAAACTAGTCGATCCCACTCGGGGCCATTTCTCCCGGTGTCAGTGGGGCTCCTAGCTTGCTGTGGGTCTCCGGTCGCGATACCCCATCTCCCGGGCTGTTTTCAGGAATGTTGATGAGGTTGGCCCAGATGATCTCCAAAACCTACCCCAGCTCAGCTCCAGAGGGGCCCGGCCCCGAACCTGTGATCCCAACACGCCCGGGGTCCCTCCGCACCCCCGCGTGCTTCCTTACCTGTAAGGACCAATGGCCGCTGGGGCTTTCGTGGTGCTGATCACCTTTTTGATCAAAGATGTCATGGTAATCCTTTTCTTTTACTGTTCCTGGGAGAGAACGATACAGTAGTACACTACCCCGGACCGCGTCTCACCAGACTAGCCAGGCAGGCACTGAGTCTCCGCAGTTAATATGTCCCCGGGAGCGGACTCGCTTGGCATTCTGGGAGTTGTAGTCCCTGCGTGACTCCCGGACACGTGGAAACAGAGGCTTCAGTGGCGCATGCGCCTTCCAGCTCTCGTACAGCTCGTGTCGCCTCGGAGGGGACCGTCGCAGAGCCTTGTCATTCCAACCCTGGGAAGCCTGGACTTCTTCTGGCAGGTAAGTCGTGAGGGCCTGGTGTCTGCCGGAGCTGGAAAGTTGAGGGAAGTGTGTGTGCCGTCCTCCCTCCCCGCACTGGTTCTGTGGCCGGGCTCTCCTCCCCATTCTCTCCCCGGACCTCACTAATCTCCTCTTTCCTGCTGCCTGCGTCTGGGCCTCCCTTCTCAGCTCCGGGCCTCCCTTCTCAGCTCCGCACCTCCTTCGGCCTCTGCTCGTGGGCTTCCTACTCTGTCCTTTCTCCGTCTTGCCCCGCTGGGTGGAGGCCATCGTGAGAATAGGCTTGCAACTCTTCTGCTACCCTAAAGGAGTAAGATGGGTGATTCCGGGGACCTCGCTGAGATCTGGATGTTGTTCCGCTTCCCGCAGCTCCCGTATTCCCTTTTCTTGAGGGCTCCTAGTGCTCTACGAGGTCTGTCTACGCCTTCCCTCTCCTTCCGGGCAGAGCCCTAGTTAGTGGGATCTGATTTTAAAGTCACCGATCTTGGTCCTGCCGGTAGCCCCAGAACTGGTCCCTTGGCAGACAGTCATGCTGTGTCAGAAAGGATGGCACTCGATTACATATTTTCTTGCGTTAATAAATCCATTACAGGCACACTTCTCGCCACCTATGCGAGCACGTGTGCGTTCACCAAATACGTCTGTCGAGTCTCCTGTTTGTGCAGGGCATTTTGCTAGGTACTGGAGATGCTTCAGATTGTTGTCCTATCCTTCTTCTGAAACATAATATCGGGAAATCCTCTTTATTTCCCTTCATTTTGTCCTACATACAGCTGACTTAACTGCTTTTCTACTTCCAGATCAAGAACGTTTAGTGATTTTTTTTTCCATTGGTTTAAAGCTGCATGGAATCAGACTTTCTTGCTCAGTTTTACCCTCTTTCACTCTCTTCCCACTCTAGTTATCTAGAGTTGATATTTCTGAATTTACACAGTACATTCCTGATATCTCTTTTTCTTATCCAGATTACAATTACCTGAAATCTTATTTGCTTAGTGGCCTGGGGCAGGTTATGTTGCTTCTCTGTGCTTCCATTTCTGCATTTATAAAATGAGGATAGTGCTGGTACTACCCTTATAGAGCTGTGAGAGTTAAGTGAGCAGGGCCATGTATGGAGTGGTGGCTAGCACATAAAGGTCTCAATAAATGTTGGTTGCCTAAAATGACTAAATTTTCAGAGGCCAGCCATGTCCCTGTATAACACAGAGCTTGAAACAGCCCAACACACAGTATATAATAGGTACCTGAAAGCTTGTTAAAATTGATTAAATTGAATAGAATGGGGATGCTTTCTCTTTATACCATAGTAGCTTCCCTCCCCCTCCCCTCCTGTGGTTCAATTACCTGCAGTAAATCATTGCCCAAAAATATTAGTAACATAAGATATTTTGAAAGACAGCACATTCACATGAGTTTTGTTACAGTATGTTATTATAATTGTTCTGCTGCCCAAAAGTATTAGTAAATGAGATATTTTGAGAAACCACATTCACGTTAGTTTTGTTACAGTATATTATTGTAATTGTACTATTTTATTTTTGTTGTTAAACTCTTACTGTACCTAATTAATAAATAAAGCTTTATCATAGGTATGTGTATTTAAGAAAAAAATATAGTTTATGTAGGGTTCAGTACTATTGTCATTTTAGGGGATACTACTGTAATTTCACCAAATGGTCCTTTAAATAAGGAGCATTCTTGTAGTGTTACAAATAATTCAACTTGTATAAACAAATACTTCATGTGAAACAAGTGTTATTAAGGTTGATTTTATATCAAGTCAAAATCACCAACTTTCTAGATCTGCAAGAAATCAGAGACCTTTGGTTAATTTCTAGGCATCCAAGTTGGAGTTCAGTGTGTCAAGGACTGTGTCTGATCAACTAGGGCATACTAAGCCGTTTTAGAAAACATGGCATGTCCAATTTATTTGAAGATTTGGGAGGAAAACACTTTCATAAAGTGTAGCACATACTTAGCTCACTAAAGTTTTGACTGAATGAATATGAAAACAAAACCAAACTAGGTATATTAAAGCAAATACAAGAGTCACTTGAATGTTAAGGTAAGAGTTAAGTAAGGTTCCTTATGGAGGCTAATGTTTTTTTTTTTTTTTTTTTTTTGGAGGCTAATTTATGTATTTGTCCATACAGACTCACTCTATGTTCATTTTTTTTTT